CAGCGCCCGGCACCAAGCACCCAGCGCCGGGCAGGGGTAAGGGGGTGCCCGGCCCGGAGGGCTTTGCACTTCAGCGGGGTCCCTTCCACCCGTGGTTGCCCGGCTGAGGATGACACCCCGGTGGGTGCAGGTGGCACGGGGTGACCGCGGGTACGGCTCCGTGTGGGACACCTTGCTCCTTCCCACGGGCACAAGGGGCTGGCGTGGGGCTGGCACTGCCACTGGTCCCTTCTTCCCCGTGGTTTCTCCGCTGTGGGATGCAGGCAGCAGGGCAGGGGGGACTGGGCTGGGGGCACCGCACTGATGTCTTGGCATTGAGGGCACAGGGGGACCTGCGGATGTCCATGGGTAGCAGGGCACCTCGGCGCTGCAGGGGCTCGCCAGAGGTACCCCAATGCTGGCAGGGAACTCGTCCTTACCGTGGTGTCGCTCAGTGTCCCGGGACTGCCAGCGCCAGGGAAGGAAGGTGGGCTCCGCTCCTTGCTGCCGAACCCGCTGGGCAGCAGCGGCTCAGCCCTCTCCAGAGGGGCACACGGGCAGAGCTTGGCACTGGTAATCCTCGGGCAAGGCGCTCCAGCATGGCAGGCTGGCTGCTGGGACCTCTATCTCACCACCACCACGGGCTCAGGAGCAGCTGGCAGGGCCAACCTCGCCCTCCTCCCCAGGGCACCGCATGGCACCTTCGTGGCAAGAACTGGGTGCAGGGAAAGACGTAGCCGTGGCACTGCCGGGCTGGTGCTGCGGGACCAGGAACGGGCTAGTTCTCGCCGCCTGGGTGCCGCCCTCCGGTTTGACGTTGGCACCCCCAAGGGTGGGTGACGATGGCAGGGCTGGAGGCTGGCATATGCCGTGCGCCAGCCTGGGAGGGTTCATCACCGGACACAAACTGGTTTGAGGCAGGGAGGTGATCAAATGGGCTGCCCCCTCATTGTGTCCCTGGGCACGGAGCTCCCTTCTCACTTGTCAGCTCCTGGCACTGCCCTGTGGCAGCCGGGACACTCATCCGGAAAAAAAAGGACACACGCTCTGCCTGCTGCCACCAGTGTACCCAGTTGCAGGCCACCAGCACACTGCAAGGCCACCAAGGGTGCTGCCACTCTGCTGGGACAGGCACCTGTGTGGCCGCAGGCACGCATAGGGCAGGACACCCAGCTCAGCACCCAGGGCTCTGTGCCAGTCTGGTATTGCCCCAGTGCCGTCCTCCTATTGCCCTACCACTACCACAGTCTAACCCAGTGCTCCCTCTGGTGTAGTCCCAGTATAGGCTAACACTGTCCCACTATGGCGTTGTCGTGCCAGTATGCCTCAGTGTTTTCCCAGTAGAGCCCAATGTTAC